AATCAAAACGCGGTCTGTCCAAAGAAAAGACACGCGGGGGCAAATCACAGGGGTCTGGAAACATCGGCAAAAAAAAAGTGGTTGGGATTGAGTTGCGGGCAGCCAACCAACAGAGAAGAGGGCCCTGTAGACTTAAACATGTTACGTTGTATTGCTCAGTGTTGGCCAAGTACTGCTCAGGATTCATTTTGTAGTGGTTTAGGGTTGACCGCAGGGTTGATTTCCTAACGCCACGGTCGGGAAACTGTTACGTAATCCGTCCCGGTTTTGTGAAAAATCATAGGATTCTCTATGGTTGCCCTGCAAAACCCACAGCACCAAATGCCATATAATCCTTGGTTTGACAGCCGCCTTAGACTTCCAACCCCAAGAAGGCCCCACAAAAGACACAATCCACCTACAGTTGTTGTTTCTGGTTTCTCTGTTTCGGAAAAAACATAAAGCAGCAGGACAAAACTTGGCCCACATCTGTGAACACAGGCAATATCATGTGTCGAGTAGCCTCATTTGCCAACCCCAAAATACAAAACTGAATTTGGATCGCCCAGGAGTTCAGCAATGAATCTGGAGCTCCTCCCCTCGCATGAATAAGGAACGGTTCAGGGTAATTTGCCCTAAAATCGGGCGACCAACCAGCCAGCCAACCAGCCAGCCAACTAACCAGCCAGCCAGCCAACCAGCCAACCAGCCAACCAACCAGCCAACCAACCAACCAACCAACCAACCAACCAACCGCGAAGCAGCCAGCCAGCCAACCGATGACAACCAAACAAAAAAAGCTACCACCCCTTCTGTCCAAGGCTCTGAGACCATGACGCGCAGCTCTGAGCCATCAAGCCCAGTCAGAACCAATTCGCGACCTACAGGGTGGCCGCCGCGGCAACTAGGGGCTATGAGAGTTCAAGCCACGTACGTCTGTGCTAAGTACTACACTGTTCTTAGGGAAGGAACCTTCATTGTGGGCCCGAGATCGGTTTACCCCTTGGCCGGTGAAACCGAAAAAAAATCACAACCAGACCGAGGCAGCCAAAAGAAGTAATAGTAACACTGGGATTCCAACCACAGCAGAAGTTTGAACACATGCATCCAACAAGAAAAAGCTCAACCTAAGCCTTGTCGCATTCATGCTAAAAGTAGCAGTAGCAGTAGCAGTAGCAGTAGCAGCAGCAGCAGTAGCAGTAGCAGTAGCAAAAGTAGTAGTAGTAGTAGTAGTAGTAGTAGTAGCAGTAGTAGTAGTAGTAGTAGTACTGGCCAAATTTTGCTAGTAGTACTAGCGCTAGCGGTACCGGTAGTGGCAGTGGTGGTATTTAGTGGTTGTCGTAGCGGTAGCGGTAGTCAGCAGCAGCAACAGCAGCAGCAGCAGTAGTAGTCGTAGTAGAAGTGGTGGTAGCAGCAGTAGCAGTAGCAGTAGCAGTGGCAGTGGCAGCAGCAGTAGCAGTAGCAGTAGCAGTAGCAGTAGCAGTAGCAGTAGCAGTAGCAGTAGTGGTAGTAGTAGCAGTAGTGGTAGTAGTAGTAGTAGTAGTAGTAGTAGTGGTAGTAGTAGTAGTAGTAGTAGTTGGTAGCAACAGTAGTAGTTGCAGTAGTAGTAGCAATAGTTAGTAGTGGTACCAGTAGTAGTGGTAGTAGTAGTAGCAGCAGTAGTAGTAGTGGTTGTAATACCGGCAGCAGCGGTAATAGAAGTGGGAGGACTAGCACCAAGACTAAGACTGGGAGTGGGAGGTAGGGATAGGAGGAGGAGGAGCAGCATGATGAATGACTCAAGCATCACCATCACAATCATCTTCATATCACCATCAGCTTCAGCTTCAGCTTCACCTTCAGCATCATCGCACTCATCAGCATCATCGCTATTGCCCTGTTCGTTTGTCTATTCAAAGGAAGTTGTTCGATCGATCGATACATGTACATGGAAAGGTAGATAGACTCAGAGATAGATAGATAGGCCGATGGATAGACAAATAGATAGGTGGTCGGTAGATACATAAATAGATAAATGTATCGACAGAGAGGGGTATTGGTGAGTTAGATAGAGAGACAGAGAGCGATATATATATATATATATGGCTAGATAGATAGATAGACAGATGGATAGATAGATAGATAATAGATAGATAGATAGATGGATGGAAATATAGATGGATGGCTAGGTAGAAATTAATAAAGGAAAAAACAACCCCAATATACATGTCAAAAAGAGAAAGAGAAAGAGCAAGAGCAAAAGAAAGATAAAATAAAGAGAAACTGCAAGGGAAAGAGCAAGAGAAGGAGACGCAGAACAAAAGATAAATCAATAACAATCATAATAAACAGAAAGAAAAAAAACAAGATAACAGAAATAACAAGAGCAACATTTCTTATATTCTTGAAACTGCCGCCCACCGGCTTGGCCGACTGTACTGCTATAATGACCCGCCATGATAAGAACCGTCATAGATGTGTATCTCAGTATGCAACAGTAACTCACGACTCCAAAGGGCAATCAAACAAGAACACTTCCACACCAAGGCACAAATGGACATGTGTGAAACTAGGGCAGCACCCCCAGGAAACACACCCACACACCAAATAGGAGACAATCTGCAACTTTCACAATAGGTCCAAAACTCGGAATACATACGGGGAATATCTGCTTTTTTGGTACCCTGTTTGGGGTTCGTTTGAACACCGACCCATAGAAATCAAAATCCAAAAATATGATGGGTTTGGCTCTGCTCACCCCCGGGTCGGCAAGCTCGCCATACAACAGGCAGGATACAATCCTCAAACCTCCAGTGCCCACGGAGACATCAGGCACATTTCGGTATTCGAAGCTCACAAGGCTTCGCCCCCAGACTAAAATTTGGCCGTTCCACATCCCCTGGTTGAGTCACAAACTTGTAGCGGTTGTGGAAACTACCAGCAACCAACTATAAAAACCTACAAAGCTCAGGCAGCGAGTGGCTGGGAACCCATACTGTGGATGGACGAAATCCATTTCGCACCACCTAAGAAACCCTGAAATGATGATTTCAATGTAAATACCAACAAACGTTATGGTTTCAGCCATGGTTTCTTGGGTGGTGCGAACGGATTCCGTCCGCAGTACTTGAAGACACCCGTCGATGGATCGATGGATCGGGTTTCCCCTGGTCTCACTGTTTTACCATGATCAAAGCCCCTCCTAAGTGGTGGGCTCAAGGGAAACCACCGATTCCCTTTCTGACGTTGATACCCCCCAGAAACCGTCAAAATAATGACCCCAGTTCCCGTGCCAAAAACGGCCGCCCGCGCCTTCGAAGGCCGGGGCGGCCAGGGGCTTCAAGCGCCGGGTGTTGAGGCTGCCCAGCAAGCACCGGGCGATGCCGCCGTCGCCCATGGCGCCCGAAAAGCGGCCGGCACCCGCTTTTAGGCGTTCACAGGTTGAAACGGCCCACCCGGAAAGGATGAAAACGGCCCAAGAAAAGAGGGGAATCACCGAAAAAGGCGATTAGCGCCAAAATGAGGAACCCAGAAGGGACAACAATGACAGTTGGCCACACGCGGTGGTCGACTTGGTGTTCGTGGTAGTTGGGTCAAGGAAGTGAGAAACATGTAGTGCGCAAGCGGACCCGACCCCGTTGGTTAGAAATCGTCATCGTGCTTTGGGCATTCTAAAAAATCCACTTTGTAGGTCAGAAAATCAAGATCTAAGTTGAATTAATTGCGAGGTTTCCATCCAACATGGCTTCCTATATGTTCCCTGTAAACATCACCCCAACAAGAGAAATCTCAACTAAAACTGGTCCAACAACTGAGGTTTGAGCTGGGTCGTTCGCCGTTCAGGTTCTGGGTGCCCGCTTTGGGGTTCCCCGGCTCCTAAAGGGAGCCCTGGCGTCGGAAAACGCGCAAGCGGCCCGGTTCTGGGCCTAAACGGGTACGCCGATCTGTTTGGAGGGTACACTGTTTTTGGGGGTGGTTTTGAAGGGAAACCCAAAGCACATTTCCGTTGCGCCGCTTTTGGGGGTCCCAAAACCTCAAAAAGGGAACCACACCCACATGCTGGACTGTCTTTAAGGGAACGCGGGCAACCAAGCGCTTCGGGGACCGATCAGTTTGAGAAACATGAAAAGTAGAATGGGGTACTAGAATCAGGGAGAAAGGCTGCCTCTTTCGATTTCGAGAGCGGAACAAATCGGTTGCTTTCCTTTGGTGTGTTTATCTGTGTATATATATATATATTATGTGTGTCATTTCTGGAGGAAGCCCTAAACTGTTCTTTTCCCTCATGGTTTCCCTTCTAAACCACTAATTTTAACAGGGTAGCCTCAAGAAAGACACACTCATGTATTATACCTTCACACAAAATGACGGTGAGCCCATCTTTGGTTCTAGCGAACTTGTAGTCGAACTGGTATCCTCCCATCCACGTTGCCACGGAAAGTGACAGGGGTTTCTGAAAGATCATGTCCAAGCCCACGAAGACTCAGTTGCCCAAAGGACCCAGAAACAAAAGGCACATCTTTTGGGACCTTTACCCAAATTAGACCAACATGTGGAAAACCAACAGGTTGAAGGGTCGATTTGCTTTGGGCAAATGAGAAGCTGCAACTTGACCGGGGGTCTTCATTGGTCCACTGAAAGGGATTCTTTGGTTTGTTGGGGCCAGGGCGAATGCTGATGTGATTTGCTGACAAAGGCGTTCATATGTCAATTTTAGCCAGGAAAATTGATTGAAGAGTTTCCACAGGGAATCCCAAGCACCGGTACTTGTTCCCGGACCGTGGGAACTCTCTCTAAACAGGTCTGTGGGAAATGACCACTTCTGTGATACAACAGAACGGGCTTCCCCAGAAGTGGCTGGATGAACCCCAAGTGATCCCACAACCCTGCATGGAAACAGCACAAGAAAACTGTATGCACCCAAGCCCCTCCCAGTGGATCCACTTAGCTGTGTAGAAGGTAAAACATATTCTTAAGCATGGAAGGTGGGAACTCTTCCGAGAAGAGCTCGCTGGCTTCGTGTCGAATTTCCAGCGAGCTGCCCCACGTCATGCACGGCGCCGGCGATGACCTGCCGAAGTGGGCTTGAGAGGGGGGGTATCCCCAAATGAATATTTATAAATTCCTTTTCTTGAGGCTTCAGGTTCGCTTTTCAGGAAAGGGGATTTTAAGAGGAAAGCAGGCCCAAATCCTGTTTCCTCCACCCACTCAAGTCCCCCGGAAAAAACATTCACAAACTGTCCAGTAGCGAAATTGGTTCCCTTAGCAACAGAGAAAAAAACGTTTGAACGCAAACGACCGAGCTTTTGACGGACCCGCCTGTCCCTTTAGGGTTGGAAAAACCCGCAAACCTGAACCGGATTTGAATTCGATCCGTGCGAGTTGAACAAGGAGCTCGGGGACTGAGCTCACCAGGTATCAAGAGGCGCCTGCAAGGAACCATTTTGGGTAAGGTCGGCGCGTTTTTGCCTTGTGAAGCTGCGATTGTTTTTCTGTTGGCCATGCATGGTGATGCTCTGAAGGGACTTTCCCAGTGTGTGTGTATGCACGGAAAGCATGTCAAACAAATGCCGTACACGCTGGACTGTGGCTCAATCACCCCCCCTTCCCCGGCCCCACCGGAGGTTGCTGACATACCCCCCCCGACTTGCATAGTAAAAGGAGTCAGTACTTCCGTTCTTCCGTCGCTTGTCGTGGCATCTGGGAGTTCATTTGGGTTCCCGAGAAGTTTTGAAGGGCTTTGAGGGTGTCCTGTACCTTTTCAGACGCCCAGCGGAACTCCATGGAACAAGAAAGGTCCCTAGGCTTAGTACGTGGGCTGTTGGTGACCTAGCTTATAGCCTACTTTTGAGCCCCCCCTAAGTGGGGTTAACCTTGTTCGGGGCTATAACCCAAGTGGCTTCTCACTTACTATCTTGGCAACGAACGTCCAAGCAGCCCGTGCACCACGGATGCCTGTGTATCTGAGCCAACACGTGCAACAAAAAGACACAACGGGTACCCCGGGGTCCAAAATGTGAGCCTTCCCGTCTGGAGAATTCGAAGACAAAACGGACAACATTAGCTCTAAAAAACTATGGGTGTCTTTTGAGGGTTCCCATTTGTTTATGGTGTTTTAAAGGGACACCAAAAGGAACACCGCCAGTTTGGCAGGGGAGGGGGGAAAAATCCCTACCCAAATGGATCCCTGACTTCCTGGCTGGAGTCCAAACTGTCTGCTTGACACTCTGGTCCAATCCCATAACCCTCGGTTGCTTTCTGCTCCCCTGCTAAAAGTATTGAACTTTCAGTGGTTTAATGGAAAACCCATTCGTTGGCAAAAAAACATCCTAACATCCCTTTGGCAAAATGCACCAAAGAAACAAACCAAACCCAAAAGCGGACAAGTTTGAGTGAATTATAATATTTCACAAACCTGAAATAAGCTTGGCTGGAATTTGGACCCCAGCAAATATATATATATATATATCAAACGGAACCCAAAAAAGCAAAAAGACAGAAAGGGGAACTCATTCTGGGGAAGTAAGGTGGTTGGGGGGCTATTCCCCACATAAACCCAGCATTTGGTGTGAATTCGGTCGCGTGAGGTCGTTACAATTCACCCAAGTCCCAGGAGTTCACTCCGCGAGATCCGAGTTCGAACGCCGAGCAGCGCTCAAGGTGTAGTCCAAGATCGAGCTGCGCTCCGAGAAGTAGGGCAGCCGCAGAAACCAGCAGATCGTTGCCATGACCTCAAGGTCAACCGGGCACATTTCTACTGGTACCTTGCATTTCCATTCTTTCCAGGGATCCAACTTTTTTAAAGGAAACCATCGACAAAACCAAGGGGAAACAGACGGTTTTTGAAAAGAACAAGACGACCCCTTGAACTTGGTGGTACATTGGTACCTGGAGTCTCCTTCTGACCCACTCTCTCCCACTAACATGGCACCTGAAAGGGGGTCCCTCCAAGAGGAGCTTGATCTTCCGGGTACCCTCCCTTGGTTGCTGCAACGACCGCCCTGCAATTTGTTTTGCACGTTTTGGGGGTTTAGTAGAAAACCCCAAATGATTTCCCAAAAAGTTCAAGTCTAAAGATCCAACCCAATAGCAGTCAAACTCAAGGTCAACCGGGTACCTGGAGCCTCCTTCTGACCCTTTAAAAATGGCCCCATTTTTAAGGGGTCATGGAGACTCCAGGTACATTGAACCTTCCCAAGTCCCACCACTCACCTCCGGATTGGAGGCGCCAAAAATAATCTGAACCTTTGTTTAACCGCGAAAATGGCCATTCCAAAAAGCTTGAAGTCGATGAACTCGGGGAGTGCATGGAACCCATCACCAATCCGGTTCGTAGGCTAAACTGAAAACGGCCCAAACCAACTGGAGCGTACCCTCTCCAACCTCGCAGGGTGTTCAGAAAGACTAAAGGGGATCCCAAGCAAGGCACCATAGTAGGTAAGCAGCAGTTGATCTTTTCGTACGGCTGGTTCCCTTGGGGTTGCCTGCCTTTACCTGGTATAAAAATGCCTGGCCAGATTGGCTTGACTGGACTGGACATGTTTCGGTTAGCAGAACCAACTTGGGTCTATCAAAAAGTACTGGCCCTCGCCCCAAAATGGTTGTTCCTCGGGATTCCTTCCAAGACCATCCCAAAGGGGAGCTTTTCCTTTCTGAGACTCACTCATACAACTCATATGAGCCCTCTGGCAATGGCAAGCAAATGCCAAAAGGGCCGGGAGACAGCCATGAGCTGTTGGTTCAGGGACATTGCACTTACCCCCGTGGACCAAACAAGTTAGAGTCTCCAGGGGGGTTAAAACAATCACACATGTCGAATCTAAAGATGGGAGTGTCTTCCCGCTTCTTGTTGGTGGTTGCAGAGGAAAACCAAAAGGAACACCTGTGGAATAGTGTGGGTATGTTTCACACAAACAATGAACAAACGCCATGAACCCTCTCTCCAGCGATATGCCCAGCAGCGTCTGTGGCGTGTGCCGAGCTATGGTAGATCGCCTCGAACTGAATGGTTCAAGGAAGCTGAGACGAACCACTTGGGTCCCCTATAATTCTCTCCAAGACATCCCCTCGCGCAAAAAAAACAAAACAAAAAAATCACTTGAGATTGGCATGAAGTGTTATCTTCAAAACCACCGACAGGGGACACATAGGTATCGCCCACCTTGTGGTCATGATCAAGAATACCTTCACAAATTGGGCTTGCCACGAACGATCTTGAACCCCCTTAGTCAGCAGCTAAGATATCCTACACGACTACATGGCTGTGGGTCAAAAATAGGTTAACCCCAAAATGGCACCCTGTTGAATGGAAACAATGACTAAAACCTGTGTTCCCCTAGTGGTTAATTTTGACCCATACCCACATCAGCTTCCGGCTCCAACCATGGTGTTTAGCTTGGTGAACTCTGTGTCAGACGCTGCCAAACATGGTCCCAGCAGGTGTCCTTGAGCAGGAGCCCGTTTTTCCGCCATTTGAAGGGGACATCTACGATAATCTACTTGTACGGGATTTGCTACCTTCCCATGTTGAATTGGAGGGCTCAGCCTGACCTATTTAAAGTGAAAGTTCTTTGGGTGTTGAAATGGGACATCTTGCGAAGCCTGGCTTCAGGCTGGTCGGTGCCCGCCTTCTGTTTTAACGCAAGTGCTGATTGGCGCATGCGAGGCTTTAGGGGGACGCGCATGCATGATGGTACCTGAGCAAGCGCACTCAATGTCATCCGCTTTGCTGAGCACCATGCTGACTGACCGTTGCTGTGCCATGCTCAAAGCTCCTTATTTGTCATGACTCTCCCAGGAATCCTTGGTGTCAAATCCCGATGATCCTTAGAACCTGTTGGAAGGGAACCAAAAGGTCGCCAGCCTGAATTGATGGATGACCCAGGTTACAACGGCTATTGCCGCGGGCCCAGGTTAACTTTGCGCAGAACTTTGCGCAGCTTACTGGAGAACATGTCATTTTCAATCCCCTCTCCCATGGTTGTGGCGCAAGCATTCAACGTAGTGATGGGTTTCTCCTCCCCCCCCGGGCAAAAGGTCGATCACGCTTTGCATGGACAAGCCATTCGTCAAGATGTGTCTCCGGAGGGATTCGGCCACACCAAAGACCAATCACATTCAAGGTTCTGGCCTTGTTTTCAACATCCAGGTGTGTCTCTTTTTAGGTGACCCTCCAAAAATGCTTGGTTTCCCTTTTGCCGCTCGTAGTCTACAGTGTTCCCCTCTTACAGTTTTCCCCGTGCTTTTTCCCACAATTTCCCATTAATCTAAAACCCAGCAAACAGCGTGACCCTGATTTCTTTTTGACCGACTCAACAAAAACTCGGCCGCTTGCGCCTCAGGTCGATATCTCCGGTCGATCTCCGTGAGGAAGCGCGTGAGCTGGGCGAGATTCGCAGAACTTCGAAACAGGGCTGGTTGGGGAATAAAATCCATCTAAACCAGTGGATCCATCTGTTTCTAACCGGTTACAGTCTGAGAAGGACACCTATGACGTTGGAGAACCCCATGAAAAAAGGCTGTGGCTGAAATGGAATCCACTGTGATGGCAACAAACAAAACCTCCCAAAGACTACTCCCCCATATTTCTATTCTCTTGTATATCACAGAAGTGGTTGGATAAACCCCTTGATTCCTTGAACCCACAACCCTGCTTCGAAATCAGCACCAGGAAGCTTTCTGCGCCCAAACCCCTCCCAGTAGGTACGGAAGGAAACCAGGGGCTTGCCACCAGATCGAAAACAACCAAAGGAAAATCGCTGGTTACCTAGTAAATAAGGGTAACTGGGATCCGCACGGCCTGGTGTTGATGAGACACTGTCCTACTAGATAGGTGGGGTCACTCAAGGACACATTTTTTGAGGCAAACTTGGGTCACCTGTCAAAGGCAGCTACTTGGATCTTCGATTTGCAAGGGGTTAGCCACTTGGGTTGTCACGCCCACACAACAGAGTTAACCCTGGGGGGACTTATATGTGGCTATTATCCGAAAAGGTGACCAACTTACTGGCTTGGCGAATCGAACACCCAAGTACTCACTTCCTGAGTTGATGGATGGTCCACAAAAGTCCAAAACTTTCTGTTTGCCATTAAAAGTTGTCTTCCCATAAAGTCCAGAAACTCAGGAAGTGAGACTGGAAACCAGCACCAGGAAGCCCTAAGCGCCTAAACCCCGAAGGTGTTCATGGGACCTGTCCTACCAGGTGGGGTCACTTCAGGACACCATTTGTTTAGCAAAAGTGCGGCAAACTCGTCGAACTTTTATACTGGTGGGACAGGGTATGACGACTGCTCAACTTCCTCTCTTTAGAAGTTCCTGGAGAATTCCATGACAAGGCGTCGATGCAACTGAGCCTTCCACATGCGTTGCCTGTCCCAGACTTTCAAGAAAGCTCACCAACTCGGCCGAGAGAAAGATGGTACTGGCGCTTGCAAGAAAACCACGACTTGCCGGGAAAAGTTGCTATAGTCACGGCTAGTCCCTTTTGTTTGTTGAGTGTTTGAGAGAGCAAATCAGGGGCTACATTGTTCAACACACACACACACTGTTCTTCTATGATCATGGGTACTTAAGATTCGGTTTTCCGCAACCCCAATCTAATTGTTTCACCCTCCTATAGTAAGCCAAAAAAGAATCGCTGGCTAGTTCCTTCATTGGCGAGTTCGGTTGGCTTGGAGGGGTGCAGGATACCGAATCAGCTTTGGAGATTTAGATCTAAGGGTTTAGCGTAGCGCGGAACATGCATGAAGTTTTGTGCTCATGTTTATTTCTATTGTTAGCTAACCTATTGTGATGTTGCAATTGGTGTATGCTTATTTATTTAATTTATTGTATACGTTTATTTTGTTTTTTTTGTTTTGGGGGGTACCATCATGGTCTCCTCAGAGGAACTGAGGAACCTTACCGTCGCCTAAACTCCAGCTCACTGAGCGGTCCCTAACCCGAAGCCAAGCTCGAGGGCAGTCGAGGGCAGCCTTGAACATTGGGGTCTTTTGACCATGGCCAGGGGGTGTTGCCTGAAATGGGTGTGTCAAAACCCCGTACCTTCAGTGAACATCCCAATCCCCACTAAAATAGAGTAAAATGGGTGGTGCACCTACCCCAAAATGGTACCATTGGTGTTGACGAAAGCCATTTCGCACCTTTTTCAGAAGCCCTGATTTCTGACGATTCCCCGGTAAATACCAACTAGCAATGGCTTACTGGCTGAGTGGATGGCCCAAAAATAGTCTAAACTTTATATTGACCACTAAAAAGGTCCAAACCCCAAAAGTCTAAAGTTCATGAACTCAGGAAGTGAGATGGTTCAAACCATGGTAACTCATTTCGTGGCGCCCATCGGATGTCGACCATCCTGAGCTCCGGGCCCTCCCCTCGAAGTCGCCCTGGCTGAGCCAGCCGGTCTCCTCCAAATCCGCTCGTCCGAGCGCCGGAACTGCTTGGGTGGACCTGCAACTAAAAGGTGATCACCTTTTGGGGCCATGACTAAACATGGACCAAAATGGGAAAACTAAAAGGTCAAAAGGTCGATTCGCTTTGAACAACTGAGCTTATAGACGGAGAATCAATCTAACCATGCTGAAGCCCACTTGAGGGTACACGTAGTGCTCAAAAATAATCATAAGCATTATGTAGCAAGACGTTGCACTCATCGCAGAAATTACGAGATAATCCAGCCAGTACAAACTCTTAAAAATGTGGTAGTGCCCCCAATTGAAGGTGTGATGTGCAATGCTTAAGGGTAGTTTGAGGCGTCTGAAGAGCCTCATAGCTTCCAAAGCGCTGGCCTCTGTGGTTGCTTGGCACAAAGACGCTCAAGACAGCGTCGGAGTCGGAAGTGCTGGCCCATTCCATTGAAACGCTGCCAGAATGTGGCGTCCTGCCCCGCCGAGCCCCACAACTAGGTCCTCCAGAAGAGAGGTTAGAATAAGGGTACCAACTTTTTCCTGTAGTCTATAGCAGGGGAACCCTCCCCCAAAAAAGAAGGGCACTACTGGGGAACGTAGACAATGGCGCACGCGAAACAAGGCTTGTGCCGCATCTTTGGCTCGAGAGCATTCCGAGAGCCAAAGCTGTAGGCCGATTCAATTGATTCAATGCCTTCGAAGTGAGTCGCAATCAAAACCTGGTACTAAAATGGTCGTAATCCCAGAAGCATGTACAGGATTAAGAAGGCGGATATCCGCAGCTATTTATGGTCGGGATCGTCCCTTACTAACCTTCATTTACCCGGCTCAAGTGAGACTAGCCTCATGCATAACCATCTAGAGGCTTGCAACTAGTATAACGCAAATACAAGCTTGTCGCGCAGAAGCACACCCTTTATATAAATACGTGGTATATAATCTCCGTACCTCCAAAACCCATCAACGGAAAAACTATTGAGACTTGTTTGAACATGCTTAAGCCACCAAACGGTTTCAACAATTCCTCCTTTGGGTTCACTTCCTCAGTGGATAGCCCATAAAAGTCCAAACTGTTTGGTTGCCACCAAAATGGTCCAAAACCCAAAAGTGTAAAGTCCGTTAACTCAGGCAGTGAAATCAATGGGGACCGCGCGGGGTTCTCCCTTTTTCCCAAGAACTAGCCATCCCATTCAGCTTGCTTTTGGGAACATTGAGACAAGTCGGGCGCGAATTGCTTCGGCTCCCTCCCACAGACCAGTCCTGCAGAAGGGAGATATACCCGGAGGAGGAGAGCATGTAGTTGCCCAGCAGGGTGATGGGCTGCCCCTGCACCTGGCGAATCACTTCTCTCTTGCCTCCAGGATCTCCATTTGCGGAGACCTCCCCTGGGGAAAAAACAGGGGAAAAAAACAACAACATCTGTCGAGAAGGGATAGACTCCCTTTAAAACCAAGGAACAAACAAACATGATTCAGCCAACTGGAGGGAGCAGATCCCGCTGCATCCCACTGGTATCCTTGGCGAGGAACAACTTGGACAGAATCTTCTTGGGCAAAAACCTAAAATCCGTTGGTGACCTGCCAAAATCATCTCTGTTCAACCCGTTTGCAACGTTCTTTTACGGCACCCCTTTGGGTCAAAAAACAAAATCGCATGCAACTGCAAAATGAATACTCAAGGCAACATTGAACCCAAAAGCGGGGTCACAAAGTTTGCGTTAGGTGTCCTTTTGGGAAAATGTATGGATTTCATTGGCTGGAACCTGACCGAAACCTAACCGAACCATGTTCAAAGCAACAAAGACCATGCCCTCGAAATGAACAAGGGATTGACATATTGGTGCTTCAAAGGCTGCCCTAAGGTCGCATGGAACCTCCAAAAATGCCAAACGAACGCTCGCCAAAGCTCGTGACACGCAAGTACAAGGAGTACCGGCTGCTAAGTTAAGATTTAGGCAATCTAAACAGTTGAAAATATTTTCCCATTGACAGGGCTGCTCCCAAGTCTCCGGAGGTTGAAATTTGGGAAACCGGAAAAGCCACAAGTTTGGGGTGTCATCTTTGGGAGTCTAGCAACAAACTCATCTAACGCCGACTCATGGAAATCACAACATGTTCTTTCTCGAGTCTACAAGCAACCCTTCACAAGTCTAACCTCTCATTGGGCTAAATATAGAGGCTTTATAGTATAATCGAACGCTTGGGCCTATGCACATGCGCTGGAATTTGATACCCTCTTTGGGGCTGGAACTGTGGATAGACGAATTCCTGCACCACCGAAGACACCACGGTTGAAACCGTAACGTTTGTTGGTATTTACAGGGGAATCAACTCATTCCAGGGTTTCTGAACGGTGGTGATTTGTGTAGTGAGTCGTCGCCCATCCGACTGGCTATAAATAGGACCTCCAAAAAGCGGGTTGGTGATTCATGTTGGAAGCTTCTGAAAGAAACTGCGGTATTATATAAATGTATGTATAGTCCAAAGGGACGTACTTTTACCTGGCGCCACTCGTGTATCTTCCAACTGTAGAGGACATGAGGATGGCTCAAGGGCCTAGGGAAAACTAACTGCTTGGAGGAACCAACATGGAGGTAAACCAGCAACCACTCAAAAATGCGTCGGGGGTGTTTGTCAGGGAACGCCAACCTCAAGTGCAACCCCTTTGTATGAAAACGCAGAAATCGCTCTCTTTTCTGCAGCCACTGAAACTCACCTTACCCCTTGGTGATTTGGTTTGGTGAACCTTGGGGGGTACCTTCCCCACGCTTCAAAGGAAGGGTTCCAATCCCCATCCGAACCACCGAAGGGTACAAGAAACCGGGCTCCGGTGCTTTTGTTTTTGAATTCCCATATCTGGAAACCACATTCTCAGGGTTCTGGTGCTTTTCCGTTTGAACTCCCCTGGGCCGGAAGCCTGGTGTTTTGTTTTGGGGTCCCATTCGCGAATCCAAAGAAAAACACCACGGTTCCAAGACGGTGTTTTCAACATATGGGAAACAAAATCACCGGAGCCGGATGGATTTTTTATTGTTTGGAATCACAGGTTGCGCGCTTGCTTGCTTCATGGAGAGGCCAAAATGAAGAATTGAAAAAGTAGTAAGGCTACTGGGCAGACTTAGAATCCGACTTGTTTCCCTCAGCCCAGTGACATCCTCACAGCTATACCCTCGTAGGGTTTTCCCACCCACCCACCAAAAAAAGAAGAAGAACAAACGAAAGAAAGAAAGAACGAAAAAAACACGGCGCTTCCAGAAAAGAACAGGACCAACCCCCCCCCCACCCCTGCAAACATGGTGCTTCCCGAAACTGAACAGAACCAAAACACCTGCAAACATGCCATTGCAGGTGTTGATCACGTGCAAAGTGGCATCCTCAACCTTACCCTCTTGAAATCAAGAGCTATCCCACGCCAAAATATTGAGAAAGGGTTACTGGCTGCATTCTTTGCTGAAACAGGTGTCATTTTTTTTGGGGACCCCCCAATACGGTGGTGTTCCTTTTGGGTTTCCCTAACGACCAAAAAGCGGGGCTCCTCCAAAAAAGACACCCCCACGAACGGCCTTTTCTCATCACCATGTTTCAACATGTTCAAACCACCTTTGTTTAATCACTCCGATCAAGTGGGTTGGCCACAAAGAGTAGTCATTCAAGGCCAAAATGGTTCAAACCTCTTCTTGCAACACAAATACAATCAAACCAGCAAAAGAAAGTAATAGCAAACAGAGAAGAACAAACCTGAACATCCGAAAACACAGCTACAACAACAAATCAGTGCACATATACAACGACAAGGAGGAACGATTACGCAAAGCAACACACATAAACTTTATATCAACAACACGACAGCTATAGAACAAAACAAAACAAATCCAGAGAGTCTGAGGATATACACAAAGGGGGAAAACAAGGGATCATCTGGTAGAACCTCACCAGGCACCAGGCAAAGCCCTAAAGAAACATAAACAAACAAGACAAATACACTTTAGCAACCAAAACAAACAACACATCACGTTACCCCGCAATTTGCGGTTTGGCTTGGGGATTTGACCTTTTGGCTTTTGCAGCGGGTAAATGGGGAACCAGCCCAGGCCAAACCACCAAACCACCGGGCTCCAAACCAAAAGGGAAGTCGAACACGCTTGCCCAGTGGATCCATTTACTGGCTATAAGAATACTTCCATTTGCCAACATATTCCGAAACGCAAATGGAAGCATAGGGGTCTGTCCAATTCTCATTCCTTGCCACTCACACCAGAACCAGAACCAAAAACAGACACAAAAAGCAAACAAAACAACCAAACACCAAAACAAACAAACCAAAACACCTTTGCTTTATTTTCTTAGGAAAACAGACAAATATAACAACACAAAACACCAAATAACGCCAAAAACACCACGGCGGCCGCATTTTGGGCGGCCTCCGGGAGCGCCGCAAAGGCGATGGCGTCGAAGTCGAAGGCTCCAGCCTTCGACTTGGGATGTGGGGTGGTTCCGTCCGAATCATCGGTGGCTCGCCTTGCCTTCTTGTTGGAATGGCCTCGTTATTCTATCCAACGAACCTTGAACCTTGAACCTAAGATGTTGACCTTGCACTGGACTAGCCTTGATCAAAGTCACCCCCTAAGTGATGGGTTAAAGGGGGACAACACCATTTTATGAGTTTGAAATCTTCTAGAACGGTCAAAATAATGACCCCAGTTGGAGGATCGCCGTTTTGATTTTTGGCACTTGTTGGTTCGGACGCCTTCCTTTTTGGGGAAACCCGTTTTATAGGAGAGCCGTTTTGGTTGGTGCTTATATTTTAGGGCGCCCTCCTTGCTCCTTTTTGGGGGAAGGACAAGGAATCGCAACTTACACAGAAAATCGCCGGCCTCCCTCAAATTGAAGTTGGCGCACAGGGAGGGCCTCGATCATGTCAAACGGTCCAGAAGTGGCTACACGGGTGTCCTGTTTTTTTGGAGGATAGCCTTTGTGGTTGGTTTTAGAGGGGAGCAAAAGAAAAACCGACGCCATGGGTCCCCTGTTTCAAGACACACCCACATGATGTCTCAAAATTAGACCCACAAAATTGGTGGTGTTCCTTTTAAAAGTGCTTCACCCTCAAAAACACACACACACATACACATACACATACACACACACACACACACCCACGCACGCACGCACTCACGCAGGCACGCACGCACGCACCCACGCACGCACGCACGCACCCACACACACACACACCAGTGCCACCTCCTTTCTCTTTCTGTTGAGGGCTTTACAGAATATTGGAGTGCCAAATGGAAATCCACTGCATGGGTTTCAGGCCATGAGCCTTGCACTTTGCTCGTCCCAACTCAGAGGTCCGTTGGTACCCTAGGATGTTTGTTGGGGCGGTGGTCATTTTGGTACCTCCTTATAGAAGGGTCTTTTGGGCTTGGGTCTGGTGAATGAGAAGTGTAGTTGTTGTTTTCCTTTTGTTCTTGGCGCTTGACTTTGGTCGTGGCCGTGGTTCAAACATCAAATCCTAGGGATACAACCCACTTAGTAACCAACACTTGGCCCTGGGGTTCAAAACACCATTGAACAAAAGACAATGAATACAACCAACCCTTGGTATGGTAGCAAACATACTGCTTGTTGCAGCCCCTCTATATACTTAGAAAATGAACGAACCAAAACCCTTAGCCTTAACACCTACAACTTGCCAACAACAGCGAAGTCATATAACCAACATTGTTTGCCGCAGGGGGTCCTTGCGGCCAAGTTCCCCTGGAAACGGGTGGCTATCCTTTTGGTGTCCATGAAAACCATGTGAAGAAAAGGGGCCCTTCAGCAAACTCACACACCCCAACTGGAGGGCTGGGCAAAAAAGGAAACAGCCACGGATCATTGAAAAGCCTGGTGGGCTGAAACACGACCACAGGTGGATCGGCGACTTTGGCTCTTGACCGGGCGTGTTTCTTGTAATCTCTCCGTGCCCACAAACAAATGAGTGTGCGTCTGTTTGTTGAGGCTGGGTACCCTTTTGAACTTTGAGGCTGGGAACGCCACCATTTTGGGTGTCCTCCCATTTTGATGCATGCCCAGATTGCAAGCCCAGAGAAGTTGCGTCATCCGGAACACGTCAGGTCAATGGCTCGCAGAGGGATCAAAGTCAGCTTCGCATTCGCAGAATGGACGGTGTCACCAAAATTGCCCTTACTTTCCAGCGAACCGCAATCAGGCCCCCCCCACCCACCCAAGCCCCGGAAAGTTTGGATGGGGAATGAGGGGAGGGTTAACTCCTCTCAGTTGCACAGTTCGAACTCAGAAATAAAAGTTGATCACCGTTAATGGGGCCACTATCCATGGACCAAAATGAGAAAAAATCATTTTAGGTCGATTCGCGTTGGACGTCTGAGTATAAGGTAATCACACCTTGGCCATGCCAAGTGCCAAAAATTGTTGCGTCCCCCCTCCAGGGTCGTCGATTTAAAGGGACCCCACCTTCAGATGTTGAACAAAGGAGACGCCGAAACCAAACCCAAAGAGGCGACCAAACATCAGAAGCAACCAGCTGCCTCCTGCGAAGATAATCCCCCGTGTTGTCCGCTGGCCATGGGAAACCAACAAGCAAGCGAGACGGTCGAACAGCACCACACCGCGGCCGAGCGCCTTATGCAAAGCCTCTTGCACTGAAAAGGCATGCAACGCCTGCGGCTCAGATGCATGGCTTGGGCAAAGTACCACTTAGGCAAATAGGCCCTTCCACGACCCTTTCGCGCGATAAACCACTTTCGCGAACCCTTTCACTGCCTGAGAACAAATGCTTTGAGAACAGTACTTCCTTACAAACACTTTCAAATGCGGAGTTTCTAGGACGCCGCTCAATTGGCAGTCCGCTGCTACAGCAAAACCACCTGATTCACACTAACATCTCCAACCTGGATCGAGGTCCGGCTTGGCTTCGGTCTAACGCGGCCATGGATTGCGGAACCAATCCCCACGTCGCGGGCTCCGACGCGATTTGTTGGAAAACACCCCAGCGACCAAAACGGCTGCGTGGGCCCTAGGCTGAGATTGAGACACCTGAAGAATCCACGATTCGGGGCCCGTGGAAGAATGGGCCTCAAAATGGCCCAAATCTGGGGTACACATGTTAGATGCCCAGTGGCCGTGGGAAAAAGGGGCATCCTTCTTGGGTTGGTTTAAAGAGGGCGGAATCCACTGGGCAGATTTTTTGGAGATCCCCCCGCACGTTCCTCGGGTCGTAGCCCTCGCATCTGCTGACGGCGTGTAAACCCTTGGGTGCACCTTTTTTTGTGGATTTCAAGAGGAATACCTCCACAAATGGGCGCCCACTGGCGCTGGTCGGAAAGAACCACGAATAAACAAAACACCGAATTCGCCTACGTTGAAATGTGACTCTTCGTCTTGGTTTGGACGACTTTCCTTGCAAAGGGCCCACTTTTCTCGCGGGTTCCATGGCAGCAAACAGCTGCCAAGTGCAGCTCTGCCATGCGGTGGGAAGTTGAGAGCATTGTTGTTGGGGGTCCTTAGGAAAACCTCAGAACCCCCCCCCGCCCCCGGCCCTCGGGCCAAATCCAAAGCGCCTGCTGGGCAACGGTCTTTGGTGAGCTTGGTGAGATCACCGAGCCATCTGGTGGAATGTCAATGGACACGTTGGACAAGACCTGCGCGGGGTGACGAAAATACAGAGCTCTCACCTGGTCACACGTGTAAATTCATGAACGGAAAAGGAAAACAACCAAAGGACCGCAGATCATGGAATCTTGAAGGGCGCTAGGTAGAAGGGTTTTGTCGAGATCCTTAGGGATCGTTTGGGAGCCTTAGGGAACCCCTTAAACCACCCCCCGTCGGGTCTCCTTTGACAGACCCATTCTCTACCCTTCTGGCTTGCTCACCCTTTAGCTCCGGAGCAACCCTGTTGAAAAAAGCGCCCTAGGTACGAGCAAGTCCTACAGGCATAGAGGTTGCATATATGCAATAATATTATATATATACATGATAAGTACATGTTACTGTGTAGCCTTCAAATGGGGGTTGATCAAAAGGTCCTTTGGGGTGACCATTCGGGAAACTACCACCAAAAAACACTTTCACCACAAAATGCGAAAAGTTGCCCATCGTCATTTTGGGGCCAGGAAAATTGATCAACCCCCAAAATGCAGTACCTGTTCTATTCCCTACTTCTGTTGCCAAGCGCAGAAGCCATCTCGCTGTGGGTTCGGCTATCCTTTTGGCCGCGACTGCGTCTCAAATAGGGGAATCCTGGCAAAGGGTGGTGCTTTCCCTTCCGAGCAACCACTAAAAGGGGACCCTAAAACATATTGTGGATATGACAAAATCCTGCACCACCTAAGAAACCATGGTTGAAACCAGAACGTTTGTTGGTATTTGCAGGAGACACATCAGAAACCAGGGCTTCTGAACGGTGCTGCGAAATGGATTTCGTCCATCCGCAGTATGTTGTAATCAAAGATGGATTTGTGTGTAGTGAGTCGCCCACCACAAGAGCTCCAGATCGATGCTGCTTGTTTCGCCCTTTTTCGCCCTCTTTAAGGCCTGAACCGTGGCTTACCTGATTTTCCTGGGCCTATCCTGAGATAGTGCCATAACAACAGAAATCCTACATGTTTGGGGGCCAAACATTTTGCAAGTCCCATCTTGAAGGGACTTGACCATCCTGCTCCAAGTGACTGCAAATAAACCATATCCAACCAAACAAGCACGCAAAAGGGCCCCAGACGTGCCGGGCCGATGTTCATCGATCCTTAATTAGCAACTGCGCGTTTGGTGTTCACAGGGAAAGGGAAGTCAAAATGCCACAATTATTCTTTATCTGTGCTGGCAATTGCGCATTCATCAGTATCAGCAAACAAATCGATTGGACGTGGAGGAGTGCCCTACAAATGGGATCTGTATTGTAGACAGCCAGGGTTCATTTGCAAGAACCTTCTTTTGGGATAGACCTTGGGTGTTTCAGACCACACTCAACCATGATAATCGTATGCACATTAAGGGTTCATGGTTCCCTTGCTTGCAACAACGGCATCCGCACGCCCATCGAGGTTTGAAAGGAACAGTTTCACCGCAAGGAATACACAGCCCAGTGACCCTGGTACAAAAACTTGTTTCATGTTTTGCTAGGGTGGCCCTGTTTGGCGGGGAACTCGCCAAACAAAGGTTGGGATCCACCACCACCGCCGCCACCGCCGCCCCCAACACCGCCAACACCGCCAACACCGCCAACACCGCCAACACCGCCAACACCACCAGCACTCTAACCCCCACCACCGCACCAGCACCGGCACCAGCACCAGCACCAGCACCGCCACCAGCCGGCACCAGCATCACCTTCACTCTTTGCTGGTCAGCCGAACACACACCATGATTTGCCTGGTGCCCACATACCAGGAGCGACAGCAACAGCGACTGAAACGGCAACAACCAACCAACTTGTTGACCGGTACCCAGGACGCTTGGCCCAGAATAATTATTTGTCTGACACTGTTCCATATTTAGTCCAACCTACATAAATCAGTTTTGGAAACCCCAACTAAGCTTTCCGTCCCTTTCCTGTCCTTTGAAGTCACTCCGCAGGTGGTAGGGAAACAAGCCCAATTGACTTTGATAACCCCGCCAGAAACAGCCAACATGATGACCACCAGGTAAACCATTCCAAAAAGGGGCCCTCAAACAACACACAAGAATCTGGGGCAAGTCTTCCCGTTCGTTGCATTGCCTCAGTTACGCGATTGGCCAGAACAAGTCCAAACAAGTCTGCCACTAAACTGAGAAGATCCCTAGTTCTTTTTGACCCGCCAAATGGATCTCGCAACCATCCACAGTAGGGGAGAAAAACCCCATTGAAGGCTGTGCTTCTTCTTTCCCTATCCAACCCCTCCCAAATGGGGTGGGTGTTCCTCCCCGAGCCGGCTACCGACATACTTGGCCGAACTGGCACCGCACACAAACCAAGCAGAATTTCTCTTCCATTTGCTTACTACTGGAAAAAAACATCATGTTTCCAGTAGTAAAGCCAACAAAGAAAAATACCGCATATTCTGAACCTCAAAGTAAAACGCTCAACAAAGGCTTCTTGATTGATAAAACAACCAAAAACAAGTGCTCTTCCTGCCTGTTTCCCTTTTAGAACCACCAAAAACGGGGGTGGGGGGTACTCTCGAGAAAAAAAGAAAAAGAATAAAAAAATGGAAGCCGCTTCCTTGGCCGAAGCACCCCGCGGGAAGCAAAAAACCGACGCCACCCCCACCCTTGGACCCGCGCGCCTGGGAGCGGCGCATGGGGCTGGTGGCCTGGTGTCCGGCGGCAGCACCCAGGTCGAGCTCCGTGAAGGTCTGCAGCAGGTAACGCCTCCGTCGATCTCTCTTACATTGTTGTACTTGTTTTTGGCGTTTGGAGAATGTGTTTCGATACTTCTTACATTGTTGCATGTGTTTTGCTTTTTTGCTTTTGTTTTTTTGCTGTTGGATCATGTGTACTGTTGGTATTTTTGTTGTCTTTTCATGTGTAAAGTATGGATTTTCGGTGCTAGGTTCTGCGTATTGTTTGATAGCTTTGCTGTTTTGACGTTTGATGTGCTGTGTTCTTGTCTTGTTCCCTCAATCTTTGACGGGGCATCGTGACTGTGAACTGGGGGTCTCAGGTCTTTGCTTTGTGGAGCATTGACCCTGGGCTCTATGAGCTCGATGTGTTTCTGTCAAACAAAAACTGAGCCGTTTTTGAGTAGGAGACTCAGGTGATTGAGAATATCGGATTGTTGGACCATTGCCTTATGGCTATGTGGTTCGATCTTTGGACTTAAAAGTGGATCAGTTGAAACAAATAACTGTCCATTGCACCCACAACAAGTTTGGCTTTGTTTTGCAGAGGGGTCAACAGCACAGCAACCAAGATTGACCGTTGTTGGGTTCTGTGGCTTTGTCTTAAACTTGTTGGACGCTTGTGAGGTTCTTTGAACCATTGCTTGTGGTTATGTTCTTGGTAGTTTCTTCCGATTGTTTGATGCCGTTGTTCCGTGATGATCGGTTGTCAAACAATTTAGGCTTTTATGGTGGTGTTTTTACATGTAAATAATGTTGTAGTTGTTTGTATACACACACTAAATATAGTTTCAGTTGTGTTCATCTGTGTTGTTTATGTTTTGTGCTGTGGTGTTTTTGAGTTTCTTTGCTTTTGTGTTTTGCGATTTGGAGGCTGTAGTGCTATTTTCGAGGGCCAGACCCAAATCCTCTTTGCCTCGAGGATACCTTTTTTGGGGGTAGGTGTTGTACGGGGACTATTCACGGTGTGGGTTTCATAACCCAAAATCAGCTCCCTAATATAGAAGGCGTCAAACCCGAATAGGGCGGTTCTGCCATCTGGGTGTGTTTTTATACCCCCTTTTTCAAACACCTGCCTTTTGAGGGTGTCATGTCAACCCGCTACTGACAAAGGATGTATTTACCAGTGAGAACCAGTTGTTTTTTCTTCACAAACAAAACACTTAAAACAAGAGGGTATTTGGAGTATGGGGTAGGGGACCAAAACCTTGACACTCGTGTCTCTACACACCTCCCTCTGCATCCACGGCATGGGTTCCTGTCAAAATGAGAAATCCCCACACTGGATGGCGTTCCTTTGGCTTCCCGAACCAAACTAAAACACAAATCTACCCGAGAAAAACACACACACACACACCGGTTTGCTCTGATTCGTTGTTTGCTGAAGTGTGTGCTTCTTTTGTCTGACTTTGGTTGAAGCTCCGGATATGTGGGTTGTTGATACTTCTTCGTTGGTTCTTTCTGTGTGCTAGGTTATAATGATATGGTTGTAGTCGGTTAGTTTCGGAACCTTGGATTAATTCTGATGATCGTGTTAGCCGTTCTTTAGTAGGGTCTGAAACTCAGGTGATTGAGAATATCGGAAGTCTTGGATCATTGCCTTATGGCTATGTGGTTGGATCTTTGGACTTAAAAGTGGATCAGTTGAAACAAAGAACTGTCCATTGCACCCGCAACAAGTTGTTTTGTTTTTTGGGAGGGTTCAACAGCACAGCAACCAAGATTGACTGTTGTTGGGTTCTGTGGCTTTGTCTTAAACTTGTTGGACGCTTGTGAGGTTCTTTGAACCATTGCTTGTGTTTATGTTCTGGATAGCATCTTCCTATCGCCCTCGATGAGGCGAACATGGACCCCTCCTCCCAAAAGACTTGTGAACGGCGAGGGGTCAACAAGCTTTAATCAAGAACTGGGTCCAATCAAGGGTCGTCCTCAAATCATCCTCATGATGGTGGAAAAAGGGACCGCGCCACCTCCCCCCCCAGCGGATCCATTTACCTGTACAGTAGGTCACCAAGGGAGCCGCCCTTTAACCACAACGGAAAATCGCTGGTCTCCTATCAGAATCACCGGGATCCACGGTTTCTGGCTTCCCACGGACTCCGGTCGAACACTTCGGTCGACGCCTCGCGTGCTCATCTGCTCCTTGGAAGATATCCTGCGGAGTGAGAGCTCAAGCCCCAGGGCCAGCCTCGAGGCTGTCCGGTTTCGGATCCCCTGCTAAAGGTGACAAACTTAAACAGAAAAACTGAACACAGAAAGACGTAAAATGCCAAGGGGATAAGGGGATGGCTGCGAAGTTGCCACAAGCGCACAGCCTGCTACAAGCGATTTCCGTCACAGGCGCTTTTAAGTTGGTATTCCCGTCCAAGTTTCTACAAGTGTTCGTGTGCATTGCGACTACGGCTCCAGCTTCATCGCTCGAGTTTCGCAAAGGACCTGCAGCTGTCTTGCGCGGGAAGCCGTAAACATAAGCGCCGTCGAAGAGACAAAGCTAGGTCGAAGGCAGCCCGCCTCCGCGTGCTTGTGGGCGCTGCTGGTGAACATCAACACACGGGCTAATAGCGACCAGCAAGGTCTAGCAGGGTCTAATAGAGTTCCTTTTGTGGGGGATCCAATTCCTCTGTCAAACAAACATTCCGCGAGTCAGTCGAGTGGCACGGTGCACTGCTGAGCAGTAAGTAGGCTTTGGTCACACATAGGCAACCGTGGCCCTAGTGTTGGCGTCTGGTCCGGCACTCTGCTTGGATGCGGTCGGTTGGCATTGTTAGACACCCTTTACGCAAAAAAGTGTCCAACGCCCTTTTTTGGATTGTCTGTGAGAGATGAAAGCGTCTGCCAGATGGCTTCAGTTTGGGCAGGCTTTTTTGCAGGCATCGCTCCCCGCAGGTGCGCTCGGCAATTCAAGCTGCAAGCGCGTAAGGCCCAAATTTCCGGAGTGCACAACGTCAAGTCATTGTTGCAAGGTTCAACGCGAGGCGCTGAACAAAGGCCCAGTCGCGCAAAAAAGTATTTTGCTCTCTGGACTAGTCCCTGCAGCAAGTCGCTAAGGTTGGGTGTTCCTGGGCATGGTCGCTTCAAAGGGGGCGCAATCATTGAAGTCTGCAGCGGGATGAACAGGATCTCGCATGTGTCGTTCCACTTGCCCATTTAGCCAACGCGACCAGCAGCACTTGTGGCAACATGGGCCAGATTCAAGATCATGATGCGTCCTTTTCTGGGCTGCCTTCAGCCCATCACAAAAACAGATTGGTACAAAAAAGAAACTTACACCACCAAAAGTTGGCCATTTTCGGAGCCAGCGGCGGATGCCAGCTTGGTGTCTTTCATTTCCATTTTGTGCCCTCTGAGCAAAATGGGGTCAAAAATAACGACATTGAGTTTCTATGACGCTTTAAAAATGGGGTCAATAGCCAAAATAATGGGGTCATGGACCCATTTTCAAAGGGTCATGGAGACTCCAGGAACATGGAAACTACAACATATTCATTTTCATCAACTGGAGGTTGTTTGTCCCCCAAATCCGCGATGGCCCACCCCACTGGTTGTCGTTGTCTGCGACGTCATTCCTGTGGGACATCCTAGTAAACCATCACCTGTAGAAAAAGCAATTGGGTCTCCTCGGCCCAATTTTTAGAAGACAGCCTCTGGGGATCCCCACCACAGGACAGTCACCCGAGTTAAAAGCGCCCTTTCCAGTGATGTTTAAATCCAGGCAAACCATCCGGTCGAAACTCCTAACATGGCCTATGATTCCCTGAATAGGAATCACTATAATGGTCACTATCTCTACTTTCATGTGGATGACCATCCCTGTTAACCCGGACCAGTGATTTGACCATGGCACATTATTGTCTTTTCGCGTGAACTCAAGAGGCTCACAGCAGAACCTGGATGTTCGCCCGGTTGGTAGGTACGTGGTAAGCCATAACCTAACAAGTTTAACCTCACATTCACGGGGAACTTATAAGTGGGTTATAACCGAACGGTTCCCGCTACAACTTACCAACTTGGCGAAAGGAACGCCCAAGCAGGGAACCCCTAGTGGCAAGGGGCAACCCAACTCCATTCTGAACTCGGCCTCGCCAGAGATGCTGGCGAGGCGGGGCTTCGCCAGATGCTGCTCCCCTGCGCAGGCTTCATCGCTTGCGCGCCAGGCGGAGATGTGAAAGACTTGTGAGAACGACAACCAATCAAATCTGGGGCCGAAACTGCTTATCTGTTTATGTATATATATATATGTACAACATGTGTACCTATATATATATATATATCTTAGGGTTGGCCAAATATGAGACAGAATCTGGCCATATGTCCTGACCCTCTGGGAGATGTATTTTCGGGTATTCCTCAACTCACTTGACCGGCCCAAACAAATTCACATTGCCAGCGTCTTCCACAAGTTCTGGAACTCGAGAGTGGCCTCAGGACGTTCTTTGCTCTTCAGGGCGAAAGTAGATGGCGCTCCGCCAATCCCAAAATTTGCACAGGAGTCCGTTTAATACTAACTCAGCTGCCCAAAGATAGGGAATTTTAATAGTAAGTGGACCAAAATGGGAAAGCCAAAGGGTTGAACGGTCGGCTTTGGGCAATTGAAGTGTTGTCACCCTCAAGCTGGTTTTCCAAAAGGACTTGTGCCACCTGGTGTAAGCTTCAACCTGTTCGCTATGCTGTTCGCTATCCAGTGGAAACGTGGCAGTTCCTCACAAACTGCCAGCATGTTTAACTCTTTGCCGCGACCAGCAATCAGGACAAGTATTTGCGCAGCAAAAAAGATCATCAGTAGTTATACCCTTGTAAGTTTCTTTCTCCGCTTCGTGGTACATCCTCAGAAGGTACCAAGGGGCCACCTGGGCAACATGTTTCCTCCTGGTGTTTCACGGCGCCAGCTTTGTTTCGAATCTATCCCCAATTTCGGACTTGGAGATTTGGAGACCCTCCAATTGGGCTGACCAATTGGGGAACCTGAAAAAAGGCGTCGGAGGGTGCGACCGAACAATCCCAAACAGTTCAATGTATATAGGTAATATGTACCCATATTTACCCTACAAAATGGGTCAAATGCCGGTATACATGGCCTACATGGATTGTCTGGGAATGAATCTGCAAGTTTCAATATGATTCCAAAAGCTGAATCAAGCGATCCTAAAAGAGGAAGGTACACGCTCGCCCTATCTACAGGATGTATCCGAAGCAGCGGATGCAGCTCTTTGAGAGCTAACGGGTGTGGCAAGGGGAAGTACACGTTGCTTGGGACTGCGGACAATTTCAATTCACCGCTCAGCAGTGGTTTGTCCAGCAGCCGACTAACAACAGTACAGGGTAACTGTGTTGCCCGCTGGGCGCCGAGGCGCCCAGGGTATGGGTCCCTCTCGGTCAGCGACCAACATGCTCATTAGTGCTGGAATGCAAAAGCGCCGTAGGTGCATCAGCTAGATCGAATGCACCGTCACGTTTCGGGATCCGGCATTGTTCCAAAGCTCGTTGCCGACTTGGAATTGGTGATGATCTTTGACACCGGCCTCTTGTTCGAAGGTGATCAGTGGCGGCTGACAAATGTGAACCAGGGCGATGGCCTGCATCAACGTTTCGTCTCCCCTCTTTGTGAAGCCCTGCTTTCGACCCAGTGTTGACAGAGATCATTCCAAAGTCAGCATGCCAGTTGCTGGTGCAAATGTCTGCATGCCAGCCAAATGGAGGCTCCATGCCTGCTAATGTGGTAGGTCCTTGGGGTGCACACTGATTGTACAAAGTTGCTCCACGGGTGTGTGAGTAAGCTGACGCCACACCGAGGCCAAGATCATTTGCAGCAGCAGTATGTATTGGAGCGAGTATGGGATCCGGGATACGCACAGCGTGCGCCCGACCAACAAAGCCACCACAGAAAATCTCAGCAAGCCCAAAAGGCTTCACAAAGAGCTGCCAATTTGTCTAAACAGTGGAGCAGTGCGAAGTCCACTTCCATGTTCCTGCAGCAGCTTCAGGTTTCCTGAGATTGTGAATACAACCGGTGCCGATTGGTGATTCAAGCCAGTCAGCAACATGAGGCATAGCCTCAAAGGTCAGAATTGAATCGACATCAAAGACAGTCACATGCCCAGAGACCAGAAGGGAGGCCCGAGAAAAGCATTCCAGTACAAGTAGCTAACCCGTGGTTGTGGGCGAGCACATGAACCTGATCCAAAACGTTGCAACCGTGCGATTTCATGATGACATCTCTTGCAATGTCATGGCTCGTTCGTAGGGAACCCCATAACAGGGCAACCGCACGAAGGCTCGAGCCGAAACCCTCCCAGGTAAAGGACCTTGATCACGGTTTAACCCCGAATCGGTGAGCTCGCCATAAACTAGGCAGACTGAATAAGACAAGCCCCCCGGCCAACGTTCAAACCCAAAATGCGACATACATTGCCGCCTGAGGCGCGAAGGTCTTGGGCCCTTAAGCAAACCCCCCCCCCCCACCCCACACCCCCCACCCCACCCCCCCCCACCACCCCAAAACCCCCAAACTCCCAAACCCCCACCCCCCCGACCCCCCTGACGCTCCCCCTACCCCACTCCCTGCCCACCCCTGCCTTTTCTGAGAAGCGCCTCCGCCTCTTGGATCAGCTCGCTGGCAGCCTGGAGTTTTCCGCGACATCGGATTTCCCTCGCTTCGGTGTTGCCCAAAATGGGTACCTGGACCATCGACCTGCCCTTAAGATGGGTGGACCATGAAACCTCCCAGGGTGGACCCTAATAAGATTGGGATGTATTGCCAACCAATAGTAGGGGGACATTTGTGAAATTCCCATTGGTCAGGGTAGTTTCAGGGCCCAGGCACCCTTGGACCATGGTGTATCTGTTTGGCCCGCCAAAAAAAGTTTAAACAGGGGTATATATTTTTGACAAACCCCCGGATCTGTGGATCTTTGTCAAGCTCGGTACCAAACCTTGCTTGGTCGTTGAGGGGAAGCCAAATCCTTTTCTGGTGTATTGATTGCTTCTTTCCAGGGAACAACCGTTCAGCCATTTTGGAGGGTCTGATTCCTAAACACGGACACCCCCATTTGTTGGGGACCCCTTTTTGGATGGTTTCAAGGGAGACCAAAAAGCAAGCTAGCGTTCTAGGGCCGTCTATTTTACTTGGGGATTCCATTGGTGTTGGTACTGTGGACGGACAAAAAAAACATCGCGCCAGTTGGTAGGTAGTTTGTGACAGTATTCGCCGGATTTCATCCATCCTGGTGCGAAATGTAGACGAATCCGTCCACAGTGTGGGTATTGGGCATGTGTCAAAATAGCAAACCCAAAAAATGAGCTCTGTTCTTGGTCTTCCCTTTAAACCAAGTTAACTTGAATTTACAATTTAAAACTTTAGTTGTAACATAAGAAGGGAAGTGCTGAAAGCAGCCCTAGAAAGTACTTCTAATTAGGGCTGTCAGAAGAGTGGAATTGATTTAGTACTGATTTAAACCATGGTTTAGCATTGGTTTACCATTGGTCTAGCATTGTCTTAGTATTGGTTTAGTGTTGGTTCAGTATTTGGTCAATGAAACGTAAAACGGCTGTTTTTGGGCTTTGGCATGAACACACATCTTAACTCATTAATGGTGAGTGGATTTAATCATAGGGGGAGGCGATTGCCGACTACAAAACAATCGCATGTTATTGCATTTGGACTAAATGTGTGTTTCTTTCTGTTTAAGCAACCAAAAGAGAACAATAACATCAGCCGCAAGTTATTGAGTCTTCACCAAATATATTCATTTTTGTTTGAGATACACATAGCATCAGGCTGAAACCGCCTCGGTATGATTATTAAGGAAAGATCAGAAAATACAATTCTCTGACGAGGCCTCAGCTGATGGCCTCAAGTGAGCCCTGCGGCTATGCACCTGAAATCTTGTAGGAAAACGGACACGGGAAACCATGTTGCTGCTTTTCTGTTCTGTTTTTTTTTTGGGGGGAGGGGGAACCCATGTTTTTGAGGGGGAATTCTGATTTTGACATGCCCAAATATAAGTCCTAGAAAAAATCGGAACCTAAGAAAGCCAACCCATTTTCTGCAAGTGTTGATTGTTATTCAGAGGCCTGATCCAGTTTTGGCCCGTTTGACTCACCCCCCACCCCCGGCCCCCCACTGTTGTGGCAGACATAGACGGGCTGCTTTTGCTTGCCTTTTGTCACCCGTTTTGTGAGCTTTGGCCCCACTTTCGTTTGGCCGTTTCAGCACGCCTGTTCCAGGAGAATGTCAGCATTTCGTTTCCAGGCCACAGCATGGCACCACGTCAAAACCCCTCAGCCTCGTCCCAGTGATCTCATCGCAGCGGGTTCCTCAACATACTGAATCAATACTTTAATGGGGTTCAGTAGCATGCCCTGTTCGTCCCCCGAAATAAAGGAACGACACTATTGGGCACCTGGTCTGTCTTTGGCCACAGAAAAGCCTCGAGTAACAAAAACAAGGCAATACGCCTCATTCCTGAAAAATATAAAAGGAAAAAACACCTACGAGACCATGAGGCTTTCTCCTTCGAACAACAAGCTTTAGGGACTCCACCGCGACTGACGCAAGGGTCGATATGTCTTCTCCTAAGACTAAGGGACCCTTCTGTTCCAAAGCCGTGCTCTTCTGGCCGTGCAAGAATCATCTGGCTGTCTCAGCAACCTTTATCTTCAAGGGGGGGGGGGTTGAAGGGGGGTCGTTTTCTGTTGAAACTGAAGGGACCTTGGAGGCGAACCAATCGCGATCCGCGCCTGGGGCACGCCGTTCACTTCCAAGGCTTCTCCCAGCTTCGAGCGCACCTCAGCCCGCGCGGGGGCGCTCGAAGAGCATGGCGAGACGGGCACAAGGTGGAAAAAAAGGAGGATCCCCCGTGGAAGTCACCCGTCTCCAAAACCCAAAACATGGTTGGGCTATTCGAAAGAAAGCGGGCATGACCCCATAGGGTGGAGACTCCAGGGTTAGAAGGTTGATCACCCCACGAACACAGAACGGCCGAGTGCAAGGACCTAGACGAAATGGCCCAAGATCCGGGACACCCAAAAGGTGATTACAAATACAAGGTCGATCCGCTGACACAGCTTTCGCTATGAGAAATGTGGATTTTAGGTTGCTGCCCTTTTTGTGAGCCGAGGAAATCCCCTGTCACTGATGCATAAATTAAACACGAAGATAGGAAGTGATCCGACATCAAACAACAACATTGACTTCCGATAAAGGCAATTATGATTTTCTAGAATCGGCTCGAAACCAACACTTGCGTGGAGTCTCCATACTTTACCCGAATCACATAAGAGTGCAAGATGTGTGCTTGGTTTACTTGCAGCAGCCCGCGCTAAACAAGATATCAACCCACAAACCAACCACGAGGCACATTCCGTTGCCGCCGTCTTGCAATGTCTGCCATGCGTCATGCGCAAAACATGTTTGAGCAAGGACAATCGACAATTACCATCACCGAACCAAGTCTTTTTACGCAGTTGTCGTCGTGGACATGTACTCTGGACAGCTGCAAAAATGAGTCTGTCTCAAAATAAGCAGCTCCTTTGTGGATGGAGCCCAATGAACACCACTTGCCAATTAACTTGAGGATCCCTATGTTTGGTAACAGCAGAATACCGCCTGACAGGGAATCCGAAAAAGGGCGGGGGTGTTGAATTGTGTTAATGTTAGAAAGCTGCCTGTCGTGTGACACATCTTGCAACCTCCTTTCAACTGGGTCATTCTCCGCCGTCTGTAAACGGTGGCCTCTAAACAATGGCATAGAGGGAAATTGTAGATGCAATGGAATAGCCATTTGGGTGTAAATTGTAGGGGGACCCCCAAAAATAGCTTCTGCTTTCCTTTTACACTTCCTTCAAAGCCACAAAACATGGGGCAACTCCAAAAAAGACGAGCCACCCTCTGGATTCTTTCAATTCTTTCTGTCGCACCCGTTGGACCAAATCGCCATCTTTGTCCTGGTAAATGGTTTATAAAGCCCATCCAATCCAATGGAACTCATCTAGTTTTGCCAAACTAACCTAAAAGGGAACCCATCGAGTTTTGCCAAACTAATCTAAAAGGGACACCTGTGATGTTGACCCCGTTTTAACCCCTCAAACACCATGCTTATCAAGTTTACCAAGGTGCCCTCTCGGTTAGTTTACAATACCCAGAGTGGGCCAGAACAAAAGCGACATCTTCCGGAGAGGCCGTGGGTGACCTCCGATGACCATGTTTAGCTTATCCCGAGTGAGGACTTTGGGTTTTTACGCTCGACCGTTTGGGCGGGTATTGCTCATGAAAGACATCACAGCCATACACACAAGGCCCAGCAAACCATAGTCCAACGGGTGAGAACTGGGTGGGAATCTTCAGCTGGACCCTCTGGTGGACATGATTGGGCGGGCCCTTTGTTTTGTCCACCAACCATGAACAGAAATCACTGGCCATTTCTGTAGACACAAGTACAGCCAACTTGCTTCTGCGGGGCCTTTTGTTTCGTCAAATCCTCTCCGCAAGAACAAGAGAAAAAAATGCTCTGGGCAACTTGCATTCGCACATGAAGCTGCCACGCTTTGCGATGAGATGGCGGCCAAGGCACTGTGTCCGGGTTTGACATTAGACAACATATCCACACCCTTTGAATCTTTAGGGAACTTGCACAAATGTGGGCAGTTTACCCGAATTCACATGGAACCCAAGGGTCGCCCAAACGGAGATTGGGCCATGTTCTGGGTCCCGCCAATTTCGAGCAGGCTAATGGCTCTCTTCAGATCAACTAGCTCTCTCACTTGCCCAAGGGACCGACATATATCATATAAAAAGGTTATCCTCTTGGTACCTTGACTAAAAATGTGCCAACATGGAGAAACCAAAAGCTCAAAATATTTCTTGTGGGCAAGTGAGTTCTAGAATGCTACAGACGTGAGTGTCCTCGGAACCCGTTTACTCGAACCTCGCTACGCTAGGCAGAAACAGCCACCAATGTCCTTTTAGCGGCGCTTTGCCAACTTTCATTCGCCTTTGTGCATCCTTGTGGAATGGGTCGCTCGCTGAACAGGGAGGCCTTCAAGTTTCTGGTTCGATAGGCAGGGAATGAGAGAATGAGACCTATGGCTTCCTTGAGGGAATCCCGAGGTTCATTCCCAACACCCGGAATGGTCATTCGTTATAGAGTATACGGAGCCCAGCTTAAGGGTCTGCCGCCATATGCCCTCTGTGCCAGAAAGCAACTACAGGAGAAACATATTATACGTAGGACATCCGTGTTTTTCATGGGAGGACATTAGCAAATGAGTGATTCGCCCTCACTCTGGAGATCACGACATAGACCATAGACACCATGGTTTCAAGCTGCGGGATCCCTACAGGGCCACCACCGCATGTTGTTCTTCTTTTTGTTTGGGGGGGCGGCACATCATGTTGACATGTCCCATCCAGGCCCCAAAACCTGACGTTTCGGGAGTTGGACAGTTTTCCTATTTGAAAGGGACCATTTCCGGTGGGTTTTTCTCGGCGTTCGTGGACAAGGAGGGTATCCGAGTGGATGGGCCCAAAAAAAGTCACCAAACTTTGTTTGCCACAAAACCCTGGAGCCCAAGACCTCATTAATTGAGGTCTTTTGCGGCTCTAGGCCCTCACATTTAGGGTCTTGGGCTCCTATTGAACGCGACATGTTTTTCGTCCCATGAGCAATTCAGCGAGCCTTACGTCTTCTCCGAACCCCGATCAAAGGTCAGCCAAGGGGCCGAGATGAGAAGGCGCTCGGAGGTGGTCTTGTGCTTGTGCATCTGCGGGATTTGAAGTCAAAATGCCACGTTTAGAACTTCCATTTGCTTTTTTGCCCGGAAGGAAATGGAAAAACATCCACTGACAAAATCCTTTTAAAGCCAACAGGGGAAAACAGGATAATATTCTTAGCCCACGGAGGATAAATAAATTCAATTCGATCTCCCCCGACCTTCAGTTGTGGATACGTTCCACATGGCTTCCAGTAGGGAAGTCGATTCCCTTTAAAACTAACAGGGGACATAAACAAGATGCTTAAACACTTGGACGCTGGTGTTGGAGGGTTCAGTTGGGTGTGCTTTTTGGGGGGTAGCCCTTGTTTTGGCTGGTTTTTTATACCCAGCGGGTTTAACCAGTGAATCCTCTGAAAGGAGTCACCTTTGAAAAGGGGAGAGCTTCTACGTAGGGGAGTCATATCAAGGGGTTACGTAGGGGTCATATCTGGGCAAAAAACCAACAGTTCACAACACAACCCTTCGCTATATCGGATGGGAAGCCCTTTCCTAGGTAAAATGAGAACTTAGGATCTATAAAACCTGGGTTGTTTTTCATTGGGTGTCACACTTTAGCCAAATTTTAAACGACTTGGTTGCGGTGAGAAAACTCGTCAATTTTCCCGGCTGGCTCATTTGAATCTGGAAATTGGACAGCGACGAGCAAGCCAGTTCTCACATGTCCAAAGCCCAAACAAGCGGGGTGTCTAAAACGGTTGGTGAGTCGTTTGGTGGCATGACTCAGAATAGCGTCCACTTCCCAGGATATGTTTGCAAGCCGTCTGACTGGGTCAAAGAACTGGACAATTCAGCCGACGATCATACCAATGGTGCTTGATATATCAAAGCTCCGCGGAAAACCTTCCAGCTCTTGCAGGTGTTGCTCAAGGCCTCGGATTGGACAGATCTGAGCGGAGAGTATGCTTTGTTGTCCCTAACATGCGCTAGTTGAAGTGTCCCTCTGCAACCAGCAGGCCAGTGATTTTGTCACAGCCAGCGAAACCTTTGAGCTTGGAAAGCATGCTGTGATGCCACGAGAGGCCGCATTGAAGGACTCTGGCCCTGTTTTCCGATGTCGCCTGCCAGCCTTCATCTATGCGTTGAATTGGCCCCTCGTGCAAATGTCTTCATGGGAGTCTCCATTGCTCGTTTTTTTTGCGGCTTCTTCATGTTTGAGACAAAGGTGTCTTGAAATGTAACCCAAACAGCAGAAGCCTGAAACCTTCATGGGCTTGCGGTCGTAAACGCAATTCATGGTTGAGGTCGCGAATTGAAGATGTCAAGATCCTTGGACATCACCAAGGTTCCCGCACTGGTGCATTTTCTACACCGAAAAACAGTTGCTGACGCCACAGCCCAACAAAAATGTTTGTTCCCTGCCTTGTGGCTCAGAAATTGGACAAGTTGGCTTCTGGCCGCAGGTTGGAGACAAAGCGCCACAACTTGGCCCAAATCTGGACAATGACATATTTGCAGATTCGGCCCATGTCTTTTAGTCCGCTAAAACACCAACTGTTTTGTCCTTGTTGTCACATTTGCTCGAGCCCCTAGAAAAGAGATACATGTCTAGTAGCGAGGGATTCCCTGTGAATATGTTTAAAAGCATGTTGAAACAAACATCGAACCATTTAGTCTAAGACCCCAAAATGCACATCTGGGCTGCCCTCAGATCCCTCACTAAAAGTGAAACTTCTAGTGGGTTAAATGGAAAACCAACCACCAAACACTCAAAAAGCTAAATGGGTGTGGCTCAAAATTAAACAGGATGGGGTTACGCAGGTTTTGGTCCGTGTTTCCACTTACCAGGGTTCCATTGTGGTACCGGTCTTTTGAGCCACACCATCCACACCCAAATAGCTAAGGAACTGGATGGCTCCCCGGCCACCGACCCCCAAACAACTTGACACGTCTGGACTTCTCTCGCCTGCCGCGGCTGCTCCAGGCTCGACATGGCGCCTGGGAGATTCACCTCCCGCTGGTTTTTCAAGTTGGACGAGTTTCCAGAATTCCGAGTTGGCAGGTCCCCGATGTTTTTTTTCTAAAAATCCTTTTTTTTGACCCACCATTCCTTCCCCCTTTCAGTTTGAAGAACATAAGACCCAGAACTCGGAGAGTGAGAACACGATGGTTGGGATCCGCCAACAAACAATTCCTCCCAAAAACAGGGGCCACTGGATTTACCCTGTAAAGGGGTTGCCAGTTTTGAAGGTCTAATCCGAGGGTAATTGCCCAAAAATGACCAGTGAATTTCTATGGCCATGGCATGACCCCAGTGAATGTCAGTGCACCACTAGTAAACACCCCCTGATTGAAGGTGTCCCCTTTTGCCTCCCACTTTTCCGCCAATACTGAGGTACAGGGCCAATAAGGTTTGTTCCGAAAGCAGTACCCAATCAATTTTGGGGGTTGCGATTAAAGGTACCCCCTGCAGCCCCAATTCCAAAACAACCTGCCTGAAAAGGAGCGGTTCAGATTTCTGCGCTAAAACCACCAATACCAAGCCAGTATTAAACAATGCAAGTTTTCCAAAGAACATGCTTCCCCCAAAATGCACTCTTCTTACTAACAAGGTGGTCAAGCTCACAAAAGGGACCTTGCTTGGATGCCAGCCTGCCCCCCCCCTCCACCGTGCCATCTAAAGTCCTGTTTGCCCAGAAGGGGCCAAAAGGCAAGGACCGAAGAGGTTCTCCAGGTTCCTGCTTCCTCAATTTGCTTGGGAGCGGACAAAAGCAAAAGGACGAGCACCCAAAAACCTCCAAATGGGCGGGATCGTTCATGAGGGGCCCTCAGGTGGACATCATTTAGGTAGGTATTATGTCCACCACCCGTTTGGCAGGGGTTCCCCAGCCAGATTAATTTGTCAGGGGGTTCTGGGGGCGGGCCTTGATTCATCAAGGGCAACCATTGCAATCAAATCGGCCAAGCCTTCTAGCTGAAGCAACTCTGCCACTTGGGTTGCGCTCAAGGCTGTCATACCACCTGACTTGGGCGCTGAGCCTCTGGTCTGCAAGCAGCAAAGTCCAATGATCCGGATGTGAGGGCACCAAAAGCACGCGGTGAATGTCAAAGTGGCTCCTCAACTTCTCAGCCAAGCCCTTGTCTGGGTCCTGATGTTATGAGTCCAGGCCGCATCCATGCCGAGCTCTTCTCAAAGGACTGCCTTTGCCTCCTGAAGTGCCCATCAAAACCCTCAGGGCCCAGTTTCGGTTCTATGTTATCCTCCCAACTAGCATGGACCCGGTCCCTGTATATAATCGGAAAATGGTTTCCAGGACCCCTCTGTCAGGTTCCATGTTAATTGGTGGGAGGGTGATTCGCGCGAGCACAATGATTTTTTTCAAGGGGTTCTTGTAGAGCGAGGAGCTCTTCGGTGCTAATGGGAAAGGCCTGCTTCCCCAGAATGAATTAGATGAAACAAACAAGATATTGCTCATTGGTGACATTGTTAAGTTGATTGACATGCCTTGCGGAACAACATGACTAATAAAGCTCCAGTTGATTCAGACAGGGGTGCCCGTTCCATTTTGGAGTGAAACTGGATCACTCTTGGAGGAACACCCCGATGAGCCCACAGCTTGAAATGAATATGGCGTCAAAACCTATCCCAAAGGCCAATGTTTAACCTTTACTTGCCCTGGCATTTCATGTCTTGACAATGCTGCAGATGCAACAAACAGCCCTGCAACCCCAAGGCGTCCCCACCTCCCAGCCCTGCCTGCGCCGTTATCTTAATCACCGGAGAAGGATAGCGCCACTTTGTTTCTGCCTACAAGTCTCACTTCCGATCGAGTGGACTGGCCAAAACAAGATTAAACTTTTTGTTTGCCACTAAAAAGGGCCATCCCAAATAAGGACCAAAGTCTATGAACTCAGGACGTGAGAAGTTCATCTCGCAGCCCATCGAGCTGATGTGTGTCATCTAGATTCGGATTCGTATCGAGCTCTTTCTGCAAAGCTGGGCGTTGGTCCATCTTGCCAAAACAAGCGAGGCTGAGAGCGTCAGCGGTGCTTGTACTGACAACCCCAAGCAGCAGCTTCTGCCCCTTTTGGTCCACATGAGATGTCTGTTGATCGGTCCGTGCCATTTCACCAGATCTCCATTTGAGCCGGCCTTTGAGTCCAAATGGCAGCAGGTCACATGGGGAGGTCGACTCCGAATGAGGTGACTTGGATGGTTGCCTCTTGAGGTTTCACTTGAGCCATGCCGGGCAATTCGCGGTTCCCTTACAGGTGCCAGTGAAGGAGTATCCCACCGTTTAGCCCCAATGGATCTGCAGGGGAACAGAAAATAAGTTTGTACTTGGAGGCTCGTTGCCAAGATAGAACGCGGTTGGCCTCTTGGGGTTCTTCACCCCCCACGTTCACGCAGGATTTGTAAGCATATAACCGAATGTATTACCAACAACTTACTAGGGCGAATCAAACACTGCCAGGGGAGCTTTGTGTCGGTGATCCGTCGATACAGGTCCAACAAAACAACTTGAGGTCCAGAAAAGTTGGATAGTTGTCTAGTGCGTTCCTGAAGATTTGGGGGCTTTGGCCAAGGAAACTGGTTGGTCCTTTTCGGGAGGGAACCCAATCCTGTTTTTTTGGACCGATCAACAGGAAACCCTGCCTTTTCGATTCCCTTTGCAGCATGAAACAAACGGGGTCAGCTACGCTGGATGCCATATTGCAAGTGAACCATCCACTTCCAACCGCACTCTGGTAATTTGTGGTACGCAGGCGGTTCTCACTTCCGATCGAGTGGATTGGCTGAACTGTTTCGTGTGCACCCAAAATGGTTTTGTCTTTCTTTGGGAAAACCCACTTGTTGGTGGGATTCAAGGACAACCAAATTGTTCCAAGTTGTAAAAGGGAGGCCTGAGCTTTCCAACCCAAACGGTATGGCAGCAAACAACGGCTTTGTTTCCGCAAATTGAACCAACCACAAACTTGCCAACAACAGTGACGTGAGATGCGCCATGCATCTAGTTTGAAGATACCAGTTTGGACAGACCCTACACTTGGCTGAAAGTAGACACAATTATCTTTGCGGCAAAGTTAACGAGATGACTAAACCCAAAGGGAGAATTCGTGGCATGAATGTTCATAGGGAAGCACTTGCAAAGTGGACATGAATCCCCGCCTAAATGATGCCCAGCATCAAGATCGAGAAATTAATTGTGCCATCTACTTGGGCTTGTGCTTCAAGGGAACCCCTCTTTTGCTTGGCTTCAACTGACAACTGAAAAGGAACAAGGACCATTTGCTTTTTGTTGGGGGGGGCTTACGGCTTGGCTTTAATTTGAGGACAACAAAAAAAGACAACCATTTTTGGTTGTTGGGGGGGGGGGGCTGGGCTTGGCAAGGACAACACCCGTTATGTTGATCCATGTTGGAGGCTCGCCGGTTTGGAATCCCTCAACTTCACCCCAACTCAATCGCCACATCGCCTATTGCCACACTGGAGCTCTTTGACGTCGACGGCATCCGTGCCTGAGTACTCAGCTGGCTGGCGTCCGTCTGCTTGCTGGTGCGATAAGCAGGGAAGGTGAAATGGAATGAGCCCATGCTTTAGTCCCATTAAAGGAAACCACCTGTTGGATGGCTATGGGGTTCATTCCATTGTTCATTCCCTGCTGACTGCTGTGCAAGTCCTTCTCTTTGTGTCCGAGATTCCCCTTAAACATCACTTGGGCAATGGAAACCTGCCCAACGCTTGAGAGAAGCAAACAACTCTTGTTTTTGGCAGCCCCCTGCTCAAAATGAACAGAAACAAACAAGGAAAAGCCGAAACAAATGCCAGCAACAGAGAAGAAACACAAAACCAGGGTTCTCTAAATGTTCCCTTGACACGTCATCCTACAAGGAAAACTCACTTTATGGTGACCAAAGCGGTGATGAACGCAGGTTGGCAGCAGTAAGTTCAAACCTGGATCCACGAAGGTTTCTCCTGCCCATGTTGTCGTTAACAAAACACAAACAAACAACATGTTGTGGATACTTCTTGTCAACCCTCTTTTTGGGAATATGTTGTTTTATCGCAGCGGCTTTTCCGTTGCTTTCAAACGGATCAGCAAAGGCGGCTGCTTTTCCTGCGAGACTACCCGTTGGCTCCCACTTTTGCATGGAACCTGACGTTGGGGTCCATTTCCTTTTGAAGGGCCCGGTTCTCCGTCAGGTTCCACGCTAATTGACGGGAAGGTACCTTTTGGGACCTTTACTGAAAGTTGTTTCAGGTCGATTTGCTTGGGGCAACTGGGCTACTACTGTCTTCCTGAGGAACCTGAGTAACCTGAGGATAAAATTTAATTTGTGAGGAAAAGGACCGCATTGTGCCTTGTACCGAGACATAAAGAGATATAAGGGCCCCCAAGTTTTTTCTCACCTTAAACAAAGCCAAAGGCAACCCCAGAAGAAAATATTTATCGCAATGCAAATGCCACGGAGCGAGTCACTCAACGTTCCCGTGGCTGACACGGTCAATGCCCTTTGTACTGCTACTTGACTGTGAATATTTTGGAAAGGGATACAGAAATAGAAAGGATTGTTTGGCTTAAACCCCAACATTATATATATATACACATCGAAAACAAAACAAAAAAAAAAACATATGTCCAAAACCTGATATAAGGGATCCCCAAGTAAAGGATCTTGACCATGGTGAGCTCGTTTTACCCCTGGGTTAGCTCGCGATATCATGCATGATCCCTGCGTGGGAGTTGATCAATATCCCTGGCCCCCAAATGACAATGGATAACTTCTCCCATGTGGGCAACATCATGTCTTTTTGGGTGGGTTTTCCAACCAATGGTCATCCAATGTATTTCGGACCTTTTAATCAAACCATGGGAGCTGCGTGCTTCATCAAAAACAAACCAAGAAAACACCAAACAAAAAACAAGCCCATCATCTTCATCTGTTCGCTCAAGGCTTGGGGTTGGTGCTTTTTGTGGTTGGCGAGACCAAAACAAAGAATCCTATCATCTTCATCTGCTCGTGCGAGACCTTGGGTTGGTTAGAACTATCATTCTAAATAGACTAATTATAATTCAAATAAAACAGTTGTGATTGGAATCATTCCTTTTCAGTGATTGGAGTCATTCTTAAACTCTAATTGAATTGTACAGTTCTATTGGGACAGGATCTCCGTCTAGAGTATAAATGTAAGATGCAATTCGCAGCAGGATTCTGATCAAGTATTTCCTTACTGAGTCCCAATTAAGTCCTATTCAAATTCAAACTGGGTTTTAAAGAGCGGCTCTTGGTGGAGATGTGAATTGAGTACGAACAACACTACAAAACACTGTTTTACAGTGCTTTCTGACCATGGTAGTGCTGGGCTAGTAAGCATAGAAAACACACGAATTCGGGACCTCTGTCCTTATGACTTAATAGCTGTATCAACGTCTACTCGATTTCTGACTGAACTATATAAAGGAGAAGTTTATAAGGATAGGCTCCAATCATAATTTCTATGTTAAAGTAGAACTTGAAACACGATTAACAAAACTCCACTGAACTGCACCCCGCAAAAATCGTGAGGGAACATGTCCTCATCGAAATCCTGGCTACTTCTTCGCCTGGACGCCAGGCCGTGGGTTTCCTTGCTGCCACTGACAAACACGAAACAAACTTCTCACCCACCCAGCGATGGGTCAGAAAAAGATCCAGACATCGGCGCGCCTGTGGATTGCAGCGTTCAGGGAGGGTTGTGTTCGGGTCCCCAATTTCTTTGGGTCCCTCCTGCTCGGGTGCACCTTATGTAGAAACTGGGGGTGTCCAAGTTGCTTGGGCTGTCAGACGGATTTTGAGGAACTCCCCCAAAACTCCATCGATCGGACCTTTCGGGTAGGGCTTCGCCTTGCGACATGCGGGAGGGAGCCGCTGGCGGCTCAGCGCAACTCTTTTTTCAGCCAAGCCGAGAATTGGTCCGCGCCTAAAACCTGCCCGGGTTCAGCTTCCGAGCATTACCTCAGTCAAATACCCTTCGAATGGTCTTGGAGGGATTGAACCTCAGGCAGTCACCCTTCGAATGGTTTTGGAGGGATTGAAAGGTGTCGAACCTCCTTAGAAGGCAGGTCATCCTTACAAGGTAGCAAGGGGAAACCTTAGAGACTCATCGTTTTTGGTTCCTTCCGCGAAAAGGGTCCCATGGTTGGCGACGTGGGAACTGTTGAGCTCCCAACTTTCCGGTGCTAAGTAGAACCTCCTGAGCAAAATGAATTGGAAGCTAAGAACACATAACTTGAAGAGGGAGCGGTATAGATCGGAAACCCGAATCATGAAAACCTGTGGTTGTGACATAGAAGGAGACGCCAATCCCCATAAACATCATGTTGCTCAAAGCACATCTAGGCCACTGGTACACATATATGGGTGTGTCTTCATTTGAGGAAACTCCCTTTTGTTTGGCGTTAACGGAGATCCCCAAGAACAATCACCATGCTGGGGGTTTAAAAAATGCAACTCCCATATTTTGTCCATCCACACGTCCGGAACTATTAAGCTTGCTTTAGATCAGCCAAGGTCCTATGTAAGTCAGGGTTCCCTCACAAGATGTGTGCATGTGCGTTTTGCTTGGGAACCCTTCTCAGCTTGCGGGAAATTCAAGAGACACATTTTTAGGGGGCCCAACAATTTTCAAGTGACATACCCACATCCCCAAATCAGCGGATTCACAAGAGCCTTCAAATCAGTTTGTAAATGTATTATGCAATAACATCGCACAAATATATGTGCCTGTCTTTCTTTGCGGGGTCCCGTGTTTTAGCAGCTCTCAAAAGAAGCCAAGAGGAGAACCACAATTTTCGGGGTGACCAAACACATAAACACAAAACACCCACATGCTTCAAGCAACCTTGTAAGCCCCACCTGGCTCCGGACATGAGACATGCTTTGTATAGCTTTGGTCTCTGTTGACACCCTCTCTATGATTTTGTTCTGCGCTCATCCTCCAAAATGACACAAAGATGATATCTGCAAAAAGCGGCTTGCTCTCTTGAGTCATTCTTGACCCACATCTGGAGTACCTCACCTCCGGAGTGGACTGGTCAAAAAAAGTCTAAATGTGGGGAGAAGACCCCTAGGAGAAGCCATTCTGAGTGGGGCCCGCGGAGCCGAACTGGACATGAAAAGGGAATTGTGCTATGGGCAGCGGTCATATTATTACCATCATCCAGAGTCCTTTTGGGTTTCAGGAAAAACGAATTCACCATTGGACATATTGTTCAATTCCTTCCAGGGGGTTTTAAAAAAGCAACTGGCAGAAACTACGAGCAGAAAATGGGGGGGGGGTTGCTCGCCAAAACACCGAAATCTCATGGCCCCTTTTTGGGAGTTCACCACAACATGGGGGGCGCCACTACCTGGCAAAAGGATTGCGTGAACAGCCCTGGTTGCCCCAGTTGCTTTTGCGCTGTTGCCATCCTCCATGCCCCTCTCTTGAGTAAACCGCTCAGGTCCACAGATGCACAGATTCGGTGTAAACAGTGTCCTCCTGGAAAGTGCATTGTGGCTATACCCCCTTGCGGAACAATCATTTTGCTGCTTGGTTGCTCTTGAAGCCTGATTTGATCATTCAACCCTTCACTTCATATCCAATTTGTTGGTTATGGTACCGCTTGGAGCAACATTAGCGTAGTCCGCTGCTCCTTTGGTTCATTTTACAATGTTGGTGCAATATAACAGCAATCCCTCCAAGCTGTAAGAAGCTACACTTTTAAACGTTGTGTTCATCTTTGCTCCAACAGGAACATGTATATCTAATATGAATGAGTCAATAGCCCATTGGTCTTTGGGACGTGGAACATGATGTGGGCCCGCTGGGGTTTGGGCAATTTGGGCCCCCCGTGGTCTCCAAACGACGATAGAGGGGATGCTTGGGTGGACATCAGGAAGGTGAGATAGGTGAGATTTTGTGTCCACCAACCATTTCTGAGGGCATGAACTTCCTTTGTCGGATCCCCAAACATGATACACATGAGCTGTTCTTTGTGTGTATTACCCTCCAGGAGCTTAAATCCCATTTAAAAAAAAAAAAAAAAAACTGTAGTGATAAAACAAAAAGGGGAACAACAAATCCCTAGGCAAATGGAAGTTAGTTAAGCACTTATCAAGAAATGGTCCATGGAAAAAGAAAAAAACACGGGCATCCTTTGTTGGTTGGGTTTCAAGGGGAACCCAAAGCCCCAAAGAAATTGAACAAAAGGGGGTGGGGCGGTATCCACTGGTTGCGACTGGGAAATGTCCTCGATATTTCCACAAAGCTTCAACCAACAATTGTTAAGTCCAAAGATCTGCTACTAGGCCGCCAAATATCTAAGGGTACTTCCCCATTCTTTCCAAAAAGAGAATGGACAAGGAAGCAAGCCGTAGAGTTATGTTTGTCATTGTTTTCAAGGGAATTGAATTCACTACAGGGCAGATTCTTATAAGCCAAAAAGAACCTCGACCCATGCATACGGACCATTCGCCTGTCTAGTAGTTCACCAAGGGCGTGCCACCCTATAAAAACCAAACAGAAATTCGAGGGTTGCCTAACTGGGGCGAATCGGATTCCTGGGATCCAGGATAAGGCTGGGTCAAAAATAGGTACCCCCAAATGGAACCCTGCTAAATTGAAAGGACTAAAACCTGCGGTCCGATTCCTGGTGGTTTTACTTTGACCCACACCCAAAAAGAACCCCGCGGAACGCGCGAGACATCGGAGCTGCGGTTGTTGGTCTTGCTCCGCTGGAATCGCACCGGGAGGCCTTTGGCCATCCGCACGCCCCGCCTGGAGCCGAACAAAGCCCTTGGTCACACTGGGGAAAATCCGTGCGGCGGCTGGGGTGACTGGATTTCCCCAAAGGTTGATCAACGTACGGGTGGTTTCCCTTGAAACGATCGCCACTTTCGCAGGCACCAAAATCGGAAATGGAGGAAATTCTGAGTGGACTTCCAGAAAATAGCAAGGGCTGGTGGGTACCTGCCCACTCGAACTACACTTAAACATAGGGGGTATTGCCCCATTTTTTTGCGGGTGATGTCCCTTGCTTAAGGTTCAGGAATCTTTTTCGGACAGTTGTAGCTGGCGCTGGGCTATAAAGTAGGCCGTTTTAAGCAGGCTGATCCTAGGCGAAAAAAGGGCTAAAACCAAGTGCATGAGATACAACCCCCGCCGAGATGTGTTTTTCCTTACTTGTGCAAACCTGGGCTGCCCTCAGATCCCCCACTAAAAGTTTAACTTTTGGTGGGTCAAATGGAAGGCCCCACAAAACTCTAAAAGTCTAAAAAGCTATGTCCACCTAGTGTTCCTTTCAATTCTCTTCACGTTCCTTTCGTTGATTCATGTCCCCTTTTCCTTTCATTGCCGTTCGCGCTCCTTTCACCTTTTTCTGCATCTTCCCTTTGTTCCCTTTGATGTGCGTTCAATTCCCCTCCTTTCTCCTTTCATGTCTCTTCATTTCACTTTCATCTCCCCTCCGTTTCCCTTTCAGTTCCCATCATGTCCTCTTCATTCCCCTTCATGTCCTGTTCATTTCTTCTTATGTCCGCTACATTCCCCTCCATTTCCCTTGATCTCCCTTTCA